GTACTAACAGTAAGAATAATGATATTAAGAAGACTAATAAGAAGACTACGAAGACGAGTACTAATAATAATAATATTAGTAATGATAATAATCATAATACTAAGCATAAGTATAGTAAGGATAAGGATGATAACAATAAGACTAATACGACTAATGATAACAATACTAAGAATACTCATACTACTACTCATAATAATGAGAATGCTCGTAATAACACTCATAATAATAATCAAATGATAGTAATAATCATCCTATTAATAACAATACTAATACTAATACTACTACTACTACTACTACTACGACTAATACTACTACATAATACTACTACTACTACTAATAATACTAAGATGAAGAATAATCTTACGACAAAACATATTAATAATAATACTAAGAATAAGAAGAATAAGAATAACACGAAAACGACGAATAATAATACTAATACTAATAATACTAAGAATAATACTAAGAAGCAGAATAATAACACTAATAGTGATAATAAGAATAATACTAATACTAACAATAATAGTAATGCTGACAATACTAATAAGAATCATGCTAATAAGAAAAAATAGCAATAGTAAAATCAATACTAATACTAATAGTAATAACAAGAATACTAAGAATACTAATAAGAAGAATAAGAAGAATAGTAACACTAATAAGAACAATAATCATACTAATAATAAGACTAATGATAATAATAGTAGTCATCATACAAAGAATATTCAGAATAATAATACTAAGAATAATGATCATACTACGAATCATAATAATAATAATAAGAATACTACTAATAGTAATATTGAAAACAATAATACTAATACTAATAATAACAGATAATAATAGTAATAATAATAATAATAATAATCAGACTAAGAATACTAATAATACTAATAATAATAAGATTGATATTATTACTAATCATAATCTTACTAATGATACTAATAATAGTAATACTAATAATAATAACAATAATAATCATAGTAATCATAATAATGCTACTACTACTACTACCAGTCATAATAATAATGATAATAATAATATTATTAATAATAATAATACTAATGATAATAATAATAACAATAATAATAATAATACTAATAATAATACTAATAATAATAATAATAATAATATTAATATTAATAATAATAACAATAACAATAACAATAATAACAATAATAATAATAATAATAATAATAATAATAATCATAATAATAATAATAATAATAATAATAATAATAATAATAATAATATTAATAATAGTAATAATAACAATATTATTAATAATAATATTAATAATAATGATATTAATAATACTAATAATCATAATACTGATAATAATCATAAGAGGAGGAGGAGGAGGAGGAGGAGGAGGAGGAGGGAGGACGGAGGAGGAGGAGGAGGAGGAGGAGGAGGAGGAGGAGGAGGAAGGGGGAGGAGGAGAGGAGGAGGAGGAGGAGGAGGAGGAGGAGGAGGGAGGGGGAGGAGGAGGAGGAGGAGGAGGAGGAGCAGGAGCTGAGGAAGAGCAGGAGGAGGCAGAGGAGAGGAGGAGGCGGAGGAGGAGGAGGAGGGAGGAGGAGGAGGAGGAGGAGGAGGAGGAGCAAGAGGAGGAGGAGGAGGAGGAGGAGGTGGAGGAGATTGATGATGATGTGTCTGGTGCTGTGCTGCTGCGTGTGTGTGTGTGTGTGTGTGGTGCTGTGCTGCTGCGTGTGTGCGTGACAGAAAGGCGGTCCGCCCTGTGAGGGGTCCGCGAACCTTGCTCCGGACTCGCTTGCAAAGCTTTCTCGAGCCGACGCTTAGGCCAAAATTGCTACCGCTTGCTGCACTCGCTCTTCAGACCCCCCGCCAGCCAGCTCTCAGGCTCGCCCTCCGCGCCGCCGGTCCCGCGGAGGGCGGCGGCGCTGGAGCAGCCGCTGGAGCGCCCGAGGGCGGCTCGCAGGAGAAGGAGGAGGCCCCAGAGTGCCCGCGCTCGCGGGGTGATGGTGGTGACGGCGATGATGCTGCTGCTGATGATGACGATGGTGATGGTGATGGTGATGATGATGATGCTGATGATGATGCTGATGATGATGATGCTGCTGATGATGATGACGTCGATGATGATGATGCTGCTGATGATGATGAGGATGATGATTATGATCATGAGGATGATGATGAGGATGATGATGAGGATGAGGATGAGGGTGAGGATGGTTAGGAGATGATGATGACGATGACGATGATGATGATGATGATGATGATCATGATAATGATGCTGATGATAATGCTGACGATGCTGATGATGCAGATGATGATGGTGCTGCTGCTGCTGATGATTTGATGATGCTGATGATGTTGATGATGTTGCTGATTGCGATTTCCGCGACGATGACGATGATGATGATGTTGGTGCTTGCGTTGATGATGCTGTTGATGATGATGATGATGATGATGATGACGATGATGATGATGATGATGATGATGATGATGATGAATGGGTACGATGAGTATGATGAGGATGGTGAGCATGATGATGATGCTGCTGATGATGTTGATGATGATGAGGATGAGGATGAGGGTCAGGGTGAGGATGGGTAGGAGATGATGATGATGATGATGATGATGATGATGATGATGATGATGACGATGACGATGACGATGACGATGACGATGACGATGATGAAGCTGCTGCTGATGACGATGATGATGATGATGATGATGATGATGATGATGATGATGATGATGATGCTGATGCTGATGCTGCTGCTGATGATGATACTGATGATGATTATGTTGAGGAGCAGGAGGTAAAGGAGGAGGAGTTGGAGGAGGAGGAGGAGGAGGAGGAGGAGGGGCGACCCACCGACCTGCCGGCCTGACAGAGAGGATGGGAAGGAGGGAGAGCGAGAATAGATAGAAAGGGCGAGGCACAGAGAGAGATAAAGAGAGAGAGAGAGAGATAGAGAGAGAGAGAGAGAGAGAGAGAAAAAGAGAGAGAGGGAGAGAGGGATAGTGTGTGCGAGAAAGAGAGAGAGAGAGAGAGAGAGAGAGACGGAGAGCGATGGCTGGTGGCATTCGGCGGAATAGTTTGGGTCCAGCTGATGCTTTTCACTTTCAACCTTGTCACTCCCATCTCGTATTGGAGACTACTCCGCTTCAACCCTCCATGAGTGACACCGTTGTGGAAGAAAACGTTACACAGGTTTCCACAGGGGCTGGGTTATTGCGACTATCACTACTTCTACTACTAATTCTACTACTCCTACAAGTACTGCTACCTCTACCACTACTTCACCCCTGCTATTACTATGCACTGCTAACAGTACTGATAGTACGAACTACAAGTCCTGAGATAACTACGGGCACTACTATGCTTTTTCGTTTGCAGTCTACCACTACTCCTACTAATACTCTTATTATTTTCTTCTTTACTAGTACTACTACACTACTACGACTGCTACTACTATACTAACGCTCTTCCTCTTATGACAGGACGTTCTACTATTTACATTGCGTGACTAAGGCTAATTCGAGCATTCTTTCTTCTATTACAACACCAACTACTACCACTACAACACACCTACTGCTTTTACTAATACTATTACCACTACTACTACTGCTGCTGCTGCTGCTCTACTACAGCTACTACTATTATTATTGCTGCGGCTACTACTGTCGTTGTATGCTTAGCACCAGCACTTGTATTCGTACTCACACGGAGACTAGCATGAAGAGGCATATTAACATAAGTACTACTACTAATTGCACTCCTACGCCACTTGATAATCATACTAATTCTTAGACTCGCACTCTTACGAACACTTGTACTCACATGGTCTTTGCCGCTACCAGTATCAATACCCATATCAATGCGAATGCTGACATGTCTGCTGTTATTATTACGATGACGGCTAATACTTGTGCTACTGTTCCTATTAACGCTAATGCCTACACGACTGCCATTACAGAGGTGAACATTTAAGCGAAGACTAAAACTATCACCTGTACTACAGCTTTATCTAATATCAGCATTGCTACTACGGCTTTATTGCTAACAGGAGACAGGGACCACAGGAGACAAGGAGAGAGAACGGGAGACAACGGGAGGCAACATGAGACAATGGGAGACAACGGGAGAAAACAAGAGACAACGGGAGACAATGGGAGACAACAGGTGACTTCCAGGGACGACGACAGACAACGGGAGACAACGGGAGACAACGGGAGACAGCGGGAGTCAACGGGAGGCAGCGTCGCCCGGCCGATTCCAGGCCCAGCGGGCCACCTGTTTAGATGTTCGCCAACGTGGACCCAAAATAGTGAGTTGGTGCATTGTGGATGTGAAAGTTGCGTGGTGGAAGCAGTGTGGTGCAAGCTATGCGGTGGAAGCAGTGTGATGCAAGCTATGTGGTGGAAGCAACGAGGCGTAACCTCTGTGGTGGAGGCTATGTGGTGGAAGCTATGTGTGGTGCAAGCTCTGCGGTGCGACCCGTGTGGTGGCGAGCCAGGCGGCGACGAGGTCGCGACGGGCGGGCGCGGACATGGGCAGCCACCGAGCGAACACCCCGCACCGCCACCCAGTGCACAAGTGGCGGCGGCGAGGCGGCCATGGGCGGCCGCCGAGGGAGCACCCACCACCGCAATCCAGCGCAGGAGGCGGCAACGGCGCGGCGACGAGGCGGCCACGGGCGGCCGCTGGGCGAATACTTGGCACCGTCAGCCAGCTCACGAGGCGGCGGCGAGGCGGCCACATGAGCGGCCACTGGGCGAAAACCTGGAATCGCAAGCCAAGTGCTCAGAAAGAAGGCCAGATCCCCAAGTGAATAGTCAAGTGACGATTTTTCGTGCTCTGTTGATGTTGTTTTGATTGTTTTTGGACTATTTTTGATCTTTCTTCCGAAATTCGCCTGTAGGAGGACATGCCCGACCTAACCTTAGTGCAAGAACCTCTTGGGGTATCCTGCTTATAATCATCAGCTTTTCCCTCTCCGGCACGCGCTCAGAGATGGCCGCGACCGGAGGTTCTGAACGCTCTGCGCAAGGTGAAGGACGAGGGCCTGGGCACGGACATCGTCACCGTGGGTTCCGTCGTTACAAGGAGGAGGACGAGCAGCAGGAGGAGGAGGGGGAGTAGGAGGGGGAGGGGGAGGAGGAGGAGGAGGAGGAGGAGGAGGAGGAGGAGGAGGAGGAGGAGGAGGAGGAGGAGGAGGAGGAGGCGGAGGAAGACGCAGACTTGCAGTCGCGGGGCGGGAGGGAGGAGTCGGCGGTATAGGAGAAGAGCGAACGTACACTCAGAGCAGATCGTCTACGAGGCTGACCGGCCTGCCATCTGAGGTCAGGAGGCCAGCGCAAGCAGGGCTGTCGTGAGCTGGCTCCTCGTGGATGCGTTCGTTGTCCGCTAGGGGGCGCTCCGTCACGAGACTTAGCATGGACACGAAGTTTCAGTGCGGTTGCTCGCATGCGCCCAGTCCCAGCCGGACCAGCGGACCTGCGGGGCAATGGCGACGACGACGAGCAAAGGCATGAGGGAGTTTGGGACCTCGACACGGCCTTCGACCTTTCTTTCCGTTGTCGCCAGGCGCCATCTTCTTTTGTGTGGCACCCCCTCGCCCACCCAGCCAGTGTTCCGATCTCTTTAGCGCTCCTCCATCCCTCGCTGCATTCTGCCTCCTTCTTCTCTCTGTCTTCCTCTTTGTCTTCGCCTTGTGCACTGTATTCTTTGTCCTCCTGTTCCTCCTTCTCGCCCTCTTTGCTTTCTTCTTGTTTGCGACTTTGCAGGCTTTGTTGCCGCGGACAGCCTCAATGCAGACCGTGAGAGCGGCACCGTCACGTTCAAACTGGAGGCTCGGGCAGCACTGCACAGCTTTTCTTTGCTTTGAAATATTGCCGCCTCATTGAGAAGCGTGCAAGCATACGCGAGGCACAATGACACCCTTGGCGCAAATATGCAATAGTATAATACTTCATGTGCCGAGCTGCTCTCTCTCTCTCTCTTTTGTTTCTTCTCTCTCTCTCTCTCTGTATATATATATAGACATACACAGATATCTCGGTCCCTCCCTACCTCCCTGCCTCCATGCCCTCCTTCTCCTCCCCCTCCTCCTCCCCCCTCCTCCTGCTCCTCCTCCTCCTACTCCTTTACCTCTCCTACCCCTCCTCATCTCCTCCGTCTCCCCCTCAATCCCCTACTCTTCCTCCATCCTCCCCCTCCTTCCCTCCCTCCCTCCCGCCCACCCTCCCTCCCTCCCTCCCTTCCTCTCGTTCCTCCCTTCCCTCCTCCTCCCTCCCTCCCTCACTCCCTCCCTCCCTTCCTCCTGCTGCTCCTCCTCCTCGTTCTCTCCTCTCCCCTCCCCCCTGTCCCCTCCTTCCTCCTCCTCCTCCTCCTCCGTCCTCTCCTCCTCCGTCTCCTCCTTCCTCCTCCTCTCCCTCTCCTCCTCCTCTCCTCCTCGCCTCTCCTCCTCCTCCTCTCCTCCCCTTCCCTCGCCCTCCCCCTCTCCCTCCCCTTCCCCTCCCTCCCCTCCCCTCCCCTCCCCTCCCTCCCCTCACCCTCCCCGCCCCTCCCGCTCCCCCTCCCCTCCCCCCCCCCCTCCCCGTTCCCCTCCCCCTCCCCCTGCCCCCCCCTCCTCCCCTCCCCCTCCCCCGGCCCTTCCCACCCTCAGCGCCAGTGCCCGGCGCCGTGCAGGTCGGCATCTTCGAGGACCGCGCCCGCGAGGAGGCCCGCGCCGCTCCCGCGCCGCGGCCGCGCCCCGCTGGGTCGGGCCTGCGCCCTCCCCCCGCGCGCGCGAAGTCTGGGGAGGGCCGGGATGGGAGCGGAGAGAGTGTCTCGGGAGCCTCGAGGCGGGGTCGGCCACACGTAAGAGTGACCCTTCGCCAGAGTGACCTTTTGCTGCGGACACATTGGGGTCCCCCGATAGCTGAAATCGATGCGGCAGCAGCGGCTTGCGCGCTTGGGTTTGCCCTCCCCCCCGCGCCCACCTACAGCCGCGCGCCAAAGGTCAATCTTGCCTAGAGTCACTCTTCCGTGTAGCCGAGGGGTCAGATAGGGCGCCGGATCTTGCAGGATCCTGCAGAACTAGGGCTGCACTGACCCAGGTTGGGGCGCAGGATCCTGCAGGATCCTGCAGGATCCTGCCAAATCTTGCAGGATCCTGCAAAGACTGGCTGACCCGGGCTTGCATTGACCTGGGTCAGTAGATCCCCGAGCGTCGGGGGCAACGTCCGGAGGGGAAGTTGTCGAACGTTTTCGGAAGCTTTCGGCTGTCTTCGGTTTCCATCAGCTGCGCCTCGTCGAGAGCGCCGGAATCGCTCCGAACGGCGGTCAGAGGCCCGCGTTGTGGCCCGAAAACCACCAGGGGCAACGTAAGGGGGTATAGGCGAAAAGCTCAGAAGGGATGCATCGACCCCAGTCGCGCACCGATGGCCGACAGGAGTATAGTCCACCCCACCCGGGAACGGGCGGATCCGCTGTCGGGGGCCCATCGCCGATCTATCGGCGATGTATCGCAGACTCCAGCTCAATGTTTTCCCCCCTGAGCCAGTCCCCCCTGACGTTTTCCTTCAGAGTGGGGACGGGGGTGACGGGGACCAGCGAAAGTTCCTATCCGTTTTGGCCCCCCCCCCCCCCCCCCTACCTCTCCCTTTCTGCGGCATTCGCGAGAGTGCGGTTTTTTTTTTTTTTTTTCTTTCTCTCTCTCTCTCTCTCTTTTTTGCTTCTTCTCTCTCTCTATTCCTGGTTCTGTTCGTGTGTGTGTGCTCAACAACTTCTGTCAATACCCGTTGCACACCACCCATTCGGCTTAGCCGCCCTTGGTGCCTAGTTTCTTTTGGCGCCCCGTCCTTGTGACACGTGGCGTGCCCCCTCGCGTCACCAGGCGCGGTCAGCGCCTCTGCCGACATCGCCGCCTTAGGCGGTCTCGCGCCGTCAGCTCGTCCCCGCTGACGTCTCGCCAGCTGTACTGTGCTCAGCTGCCGGGGCTTCTGCTCGGTCGGCTGTCCGACCCCTTTTCTGTCGTGCCGTGTGGCACGACCGCGCGTCTCCTCGCGCTGTCCTCGCTTCTCCGCCTTCTCAGCCTTTTGTCTGCTGTGGCGGCGGTGGCGCCTGCGGTCTCCAGACGCTTATACCTTTGTGCACTACCCATGCGGCTTTGCCGCCGTAGGTACTTTCCGTTGGGTGCCCCGCCCTGGGCGGCTTGCGGGAGGCCCACGCGGTTGCCAGGCGCGTTCGGCACTTTCTCGCGACTTTGCCGCCTTAGGCGGCGTCGCGCGTCTCGGTCGGTGACCTACGCGGCACCGCCGCCGTCCCCTGACCCCCCCGCCGCGCCGAGAGGCTGCCGTAGAACGGCGACGGCAGCGGGGCCACCTCGCCCCCTCACCGCAGGAGGCTATGGCCCCCGTTCTTTTTTTGGGCCCTCTGGCTGGCCGCGCCGCGGGGGGCCTGGGCAAGGGGTTGGTGCTCCAGGGGCGCGGGGATGCTGCACCCCTCGGGGGCTCTCCTGCTGGAGGGCTGCGGCGTTGCTACTGGTGCGGCGCTCTTTGCTGGATGCCCTGGCTGCCTGACTATCCGTAGTCGCAGTGCGTGCGCCGTCGCCCATGGCCGCCCTGTCGTGTTGGCACAACCGCGCGTCTCCTCGCGCCTCATTTTTTTTTTTTTGTCTCGTCTTCTCCCTCACTTCCTTTTTTGGTAGTGACGGCGGTTGTCTGGCTGGGTGGCCAAGTCGCCGCGCTCGTTTGCCCTTACAGTGGCAGGGGGATTTACCGTGTTCACCTCTGTCTGCCTTACAGGTTTTGGGATGTGGCAGTTTCTATGGTTGCTGGCAGGTTGTGCGATCCAAACGTTTTTGTTCTCATGCACCCCAGGTCCCGTGCTTGAAGTTTTAGGCGCGGCTGAAGACGCAGCTTCTTTGGTACGCTGCGGTTGGCGTTGTCACGCGTCGTTGGCCCTACCTCACCCATCATCGCAGTCGCTTTGTGTTGCTGGTCCGTGGGTCCGCTGGGTTGGCCGCGCTACCAATCAGCCTATCAGCATGTATTCTTTGCGCTTCACTGTCTAACGCCGCTCTGGTGATCCAGTGGCTGCAATCAGCTATGGGTTGTCGCGCTTCAGTTCACGTTGATTTGATCAACGTCCTCGTTTTATGGCCGCTGCATTTTCCGTCTGGATTAACAGTTCCTCTAGCACACCCATGGTTTGCAAGTTGCAGTGTGCGACGCTTGTACGCTGCGCCATCGACAATGCTCGGTCGCAGTTAGCACTTCCATCTGCTGCTCGCGCTTGAGAGCCCTCTGCGCCGCTGGCTTTAAAACATGTGTGTGTGTGTTTGTGACCCCCCCCTCTGGGCGCTTGCCTCCGGCGGCCGCCCTGCCTGCCTACCCCCCAGCTGCTGCCTCGCCGCCGCTGGCACCCGCCCCCGGCGCCCCCCCCCGCCGCTGCCTGGCCCTGCTCTGAGCGGGCCCGGCTTCCTTCTTCCCTCCTGCCCGCGCCGGGCGTTCTCCTCTCCCCCCGTGCATGGCTGCCCAATTCGCGTTCTGTGCACCCCACCAACGCCCCGTCGCCAGCGCAGTGACTCTGCCCAAAAAGTGTGTGTGTGTGTGTGTGCTTGTGTCTGCCTGTCTGTCTGCCTGCCTGCCTGCCTGCCTGCCTGCCTGCCTATCTTCCTATCGGTCTGCCTGTCTGTCTTTCATTCGGTCTGTCTATCTGTCTGCCTGTCTGTCTGTCTGTCTGTCTGTCTGTCTGTCTGTGAGTCTAGTCTGTCTGTCTGTCAGTCTGTCTGTCTGTCTGTCTGTCTGTCTGTCTGTCTGTCTGTGAGTCTAGTCTGTCTGTCTGTCTGTCTGTCTGTCTGTCTGTCTGTCTGTCTGTCTGTCTGTCTGTCTGTCTGTCTGTCTGTCTGTCTGTCTGTCTGTCTGTCTCTCTCTCTCTCTCTCTTTCTTTCTCTCTTTGTCCAGCTGCCTGCGGCAGGTCCTGCCACCGTGCCAGCCCAACATTTTTGGTGGCAGCTTCTCGGATCGATGAGGATTGCTGCTGTTGTTGATGATGGTGATGATGGTGATGGTGATGGTGATGGCGATGGCGATGATGACGATGATGATGGTGGTGATGATGATGATGATGATGATGATGATGATGATGATGATGATGATGATGATGATGATGATGGGGGTGGTGGTGACGATGGGAGGCTGAAGAGGAAGTGGAGGAGGGCTGATGTGGGGAACGGGGGGGATGAAGAGCCTGATGTTGATGGTGATGTTGATGGTGATGGTCATGGTTGTAGTGGTGATAATCATGGTCATGGTGATGGGGATGACGATGGTGATGATGGTGATGGTGGCAGCTGCTCGCATCGATGATAATTGATGATTACAATATTAAGCATGGACGTGATGCTGATGATGGTGACGCTGTAACTGATGATGATGGGGTTGTTGATGGCGATGACGATGACGATGGTGATGATGATGAGGGGGATACTAATGACGATGATGAGGAGGACGAGGACGATGATTGCGCTGACGACGGTGGTGTCGATGATGATGGTGAGGGTATGCATGAGGATGGGGATGATGATGCTGCTGCTGATGCTGATGATGCTGATGATGCTGATGATGATGATGATGGTGATGATGATGATGCTGATGCTGATGCTGATGCTGCTGATGATGATGCTGCTGCTGTTGCTGCTTATAATGATTATGCTGATGCTGATGATGGTGATGATGATGATGATGATGATGGTGGTGGTGGTGGTGGTGGTGGTGATGATGATGATGATGATGATGATGGTGTGAGGCTGGCTGGGTCTTCTGTGGGGCAACCTGGGGTGTCCCTTTGGGTCCTCTTGGGCCCTCTTGGGCCCTCTTGGGCCGTCTGGGAGGTCTCTTGGGGCCGTCGTGGGGCCGTCTTCGGCCGTCCATGGTTCCTCTTAGGCCATTTTGGGTCGCTCCAGAGGCCACTTTGGGCTAGCTTGAGGCTTTATTGGGTCCGTCTTGAGTGAGGCCGTCTTGGAAGCTTCTTGGGCTATCTTGAGGCCCTCTTGGGCAGTCGTGGGGCCATCTTGGAGGCCTATTGAACCGTCTTGAGCCGACGGAAGCCAGAGAAGGCGAGAATGCGAAACTCAGGAGAATCAAACATTTTGGCATTTTCGGGTCTTGCTGTCTTGCTGAAGGTTCTGTGGAACGCCCTGGGCAGTCTTGGAGGCCTCTTGGGCCGTCTCGAGGCGGCCATCTTGGGACTATCTGAGGCCGTCTTGGAAGCATCTTGGGCCATCTTAGCGGTCTTGGTGGCCTGCTTGCGCCGTCTTGGAAGCCATCTTGTGCATCTTGGGCGCAGTGGAGAGCGCCAGGGAGGCGCCAGGCATCCCAGGTAGACTCGGGGGGGCGGGGGAGGGGCGGTGCATGCGGGAGTCTGCCACGAGAAGGGGGGGAGTTCTTATTG